TTATCTTCTGTGTCTGTGTTAATTGGTTTCCCTTTTCTTTGTTGAAGAGGGTTTGTGCAATCCTTCTGCCTAGTCCGCCATCTTGCCGGAACCCCAGGTTTTATGCCACTCTTAAAAAGATGATGTGAAGACTGAGGATGACAGGGATAAATATTAGCCAGGGAATGGCTACTCAGGTAGTGCTTTTATATTCCCAGCAACCCTGTAGTATTCCAGATCATACCTAGGGATTGACCATCTGTTTTGGAGTCAGGCTACAACCTGAAATGTCTTCATTATCAAGGACACAGAAGGGATTGCAGTGCCTGGGGCTGCCATTAGGAATTGGTTTCTGCCTTTAGGAACAAGTTTTGGGTCAGCCTGATAAGGACAACACAGTTCTTCAGCAATAGCTCTAATTTTTTTGACCTATTGCATTAATTTATTTGAATAGATTATTAGGTACTTGCTATGTGCCACATATTTTGCTGCGGGCCCGGGTGATAAGGTAGTGAATAAAGCAGATAGGATCCTAGCCTATATCAACTTTCTACTCCATTAAGGTAAAAAATTTCAGATTCACTGAGTGTTGCAAAGTAGTAAACTATGCCATAGGAGCATATAAGGGAAAAGGGAGGACCTGTCAGTAAGTATTGTTGGTATCAGCAAATTCGACACAGACTGCCTTAAACTAAGCCAAATGTATTGGTCCACATACCTGAAAAAAAATCCAGCAGTAGGGAACCTTAGGCACCATTTAGTGCCGGCATTCATCAGGGCCTCAGCTTCCTTTCTCTGTGAGTCTCCCAGTTACAGCCATCTCTTTTTGTAAGCTTTGTTTCTCATAGTCACAGAACTGACTTTCAGCACATCCACATTTTCATACTACGTTGTCAATAAAGCAGGAATGAGAGAGATGGAGTGTATGTACATGCCTGCGCCTCTTAGTACTCATAAACTTATCTGAATTTCATAAATGTTTGGAAGGGAGGAGGGGGTCAGCGATGAGAGAGGAAGAGTCAGAGGTATCCAGCCCTCTGGCCTAAGCCACTAGGTGAATGTAGTGCTATTCATAAGATGAGAAACACTTGAGAAGGAATGGGCTTTAGGGCAGTGGTTCTTAGCCTTCACTTTACATTAGATTCACTGAGGGAGTTTTTAAAAATACTTATGCCCAGTCTGCATCCTAGATCAATATAAACAGTCGATGGGGATGGATCTTGGGAATAGATTATTTTTTAACTCTCCTTAGGAAATTCCAACGTGCAGCAAAGGTTAACAAAAGGTATTTTACGGAGAATGGAAGATGGTGATCCACTTTTGGACTCGGGTTGCATTTCAGATGCATGCCAATGCAGTTGTGAATGGGATTTGTGCTTCTGTAGCTCAGGTCTGGGTTGAACATAAAAATTTGGCAATCATCAGCATTGGTAGAGGATAAAAAGGCCTAGTGAAAAAGTATAGATTGAAGAGTGGGCCTTGGACTGGACTCAGAGGAATACCAATGATTAGTGGTATTGTAGAGGAGGAGGCGTAGTGCCTAAGGCATTTGACGACAACCCAGAAGGCTGGCAGTTCAAACTCACCAGGCACTCCTCAGAAGGAAGATTGGGCAATCTACTTCCATAGGGATACCATCTCAGATACCCAAGGAGGGGTCACTGTGAGTTGGAAATGACTCGATGGCAGTGAGTATGTTTTTGGGTTTTGGAGAGGAGGAGGCATCTGTGAAAAACAAAACAAAAAGACTAAGAAGGTAGTGGGCATACATAGGGTAGGAAGGAAATCAGGTGAGTATGATGTTACAGGAGCCAAGGGAAGATAGCATGGAAAGAAAGAGTAGTTCCTCACAGTTAATGCTACTGAGAAGTGAAATAAGCTTAGAACTGTGAAGTTATCTTTGGTTCTATTAATGTGGAGGTCATCAGTGACCTTATTAAGAAGAGTTTCAGTGTAAGTGTGGGGCAGACTCCAGAGTACAGGTCAGTGAAGAGATAGGAGCTGAGGGTAGACAACATATTCAAGTAGTTTGACTGGCAAAAGGAAGAAGAGATAGAGTAAATAGCCAGAGGGAAATGTGGAGTTAGAAATTATTATTTTCTTTTAAGATAGAAGATCCTGACATTGTTTAATGGGATGAGAGGAGCTAATAAAGTGACATTGTTTAATGGGGTGGGAGGAGCTGATAAAGTGAAACTGAAGATAAAGGAGAGAGTAAATAGGGCAGGTTCTGAGAAAGTGAGAGGAGTGAGCTCCAGTGCTTGTCACTCCTCAGCTGTGATAAGAAAGGAGGAGAAAATGGTGGTACACACACCTAAATTTGTAGACTGGTGGTGGGCACTTGAGGTGGTTTCTCTCTGGTGGCTTATATTTTCTCTTTGAATTAGAAATTTAAGCCATTTACTGAAGGGAAGAGGAAAGAAAAGAAGGTCTGAAATTCAAAGAGAGTTAAAATGTTTGAAAGTGTCATGTTGTTGTTGTTGTTGTTATGTGCCGTCGAGTCGGCCCCGACTCATAGCGACCCCTCCTTGGGTTTCCGAGGCAGTATCACTACGGAAGTAGGATTGCCCAACCTTCCTTCCGAGGAGTGGCTTAGGAAAGAGTAAATTAATTAGAAGAAAACAGTATTTCTGGGAAATGTTGATGGTCCAGTTAAAATTGGTGCCATGAATTTGTAGTGATACCAATATATGATTTTCAGTATTTTCCTCCAGCTGCTGAAGGCAGTAGGAATGGATAGCTCAAAGAAGTTGGCTAGTGGGGTTCTTTCAGGATTGGGATTTTACCTGGTGGATGGAGTAAAGGAAAAATGGGCAAGGTGTTAATGTTGTTGTTAGTTGCCTTTGAGTCATGAGGACTCATGAGGACCTTATATAACAGAATGAAATGTTGCCTGGTCCTGCACCATTTTCCTATTTGTTGGTATGTTTCAGCACATTGTTGCGACTATTGTGTGAATCCATCTCCTTGAGAGTTCGTTATTTGTTGGCCTGCTACTTTTCCAAATATGGTGTCCTTTTCTAGCAATTGGTCTTCCTTGATGATGTGTCCAAAGGAAGCAAGTCTGAGTCTTCCTGTCCTCACTTTTAAGGAACATTCTGGTTGTATTTCTAAGACTGATTTATTTGTTCTTCTGGCAGGCCACCATATATTCAATATTCTTTTTCAACACCAGGGTTTGAATGCATCAATTCTTCTCTCTCCCTTTTTTCATGCATATGAGACAGTTGAAAAGACCATGTCTAGTGGAGTTCTTCCAGGATTGGGATTTTGCCTGTGGGTAAAGTAAAAGACAAAGAGGGAAAGGTAGTGTACAATATTGGAGAGAGTGATTGAAAAGATCAGCGGTGGAATCTAATCTAGAATACAGAAGGTTGATAAAGGGAGAAAGCAGAGTTGGTGGACTAGAGTTCTGACAAAGTTGAGGAACAGATATTTAAGGAACAGATGAACAAAGGACAAGCAAGCAAGCTGGAAACATAGGAGACATGAGGGTAGGATGTTTTCATTTAGTGTTTCAGAGGAAGGGCATTTTCAGGGGTTGATGTGATCCATGGTGTGACTGCGTGTAGAGTGGGAGAAATAGAATGGAGAGGAGGTCATTGGAGTTGATGAACTGAGAGGTTCACAGTTACTAGATCATCACAAGCAGGGATGTTGCAGTGTTGAGATTAGGTATGCCAGCGATCTACCAGTGATCACCTCTGGATATATATAGTGCTGCCAGTTCCATTATTAACCCACTGCCACCTCCCTCTCCTTTCTTTGGCAGGCTGCTAGCCTGTTGACACCAACTAGAGAATCTATGATTCGAAAGAAAAATGAAAGCTGAAAATTTCTGCTTTGATTTTTTTTCTCCTCCTTTAGCATAGCTTCCTTAGAATAAAAATGTGTAGAAACCCAAGAAGAGCTATAAAGTGCAGGGCATCTTTGTGAGTTTTAAAAAATTCTGTGTAAGTTTTATAAATAACATGATTACCTTAATCTGGCAAATAGTATGATGTTTAAAATACAAATACAAATAGTGTCCTGGTAGAGGAAATAATGGGAGCTTTGTTCACAAATCTCAAAACTTGGAATAGTGTTTCTGGTTGTTTGTTTAGGCTGTAGGAGAAAAAGAAGTGAGAGATGCGTTTCCAGAAGCCACTATCATAAAACCATCAGACATCTTTGGAAGAGAAGATAGATTCCTCAACTATTTCGCAAGTATGTGTTCCTTAATAGTAGAAGAGAGAGACAGCAGTTAACCAAATTGAAGTTAAGTACAAGCCAACGATGTTTTCTGACATAAGGGACTTAAGGTTATATTGGCATAGTCAACATGATCCTTCTTATGAAAAAACAACTTTAGTTAATAGAAAGAGAATAGATTTTGGAGTCGGAGACCTAAGTTTAATCTTGGTGCGAGGTGAACCAGCTGTGTGACTTTGACAAGTCTCTTGAGTGGCACATTCCTCATCTGTTAAAATGGAGATAATAATGCCTATTTCAAGCCTCACCACCTACCCATTGCCATTGAATTGATTCCAACTCCTATAGGGTTCATCTATAGCGACCCCTCCTTGGGTTTCTGAGGCAGTATCATTACGGAAGTAGATTGCCCCATCTTCCTTCTGAGGAGTGGCTGGTGGATTTGAACCTCCAGACTTCTGCCCATATACTTTCCAAAATTTATGATTTCTAGAAATCTTTATGGAAGCAGGCTGCTTCATCTTTCCTGTGAAGTGGCTAGTGGTTTTGCACTGCTGACCTTTTGATTAGCAACAGAATGCTTTAACCACTGCACCACCAGAACACCTTGCCGACTTCAACAGTGATGTGTTAATTAAATGAAACAACCTTTATTATAGCACCTGGCACATAGTAAGTACTTAAGTGTTGGCTTCATTTATAATCTTGTGGAGCCCCTCTGTCTTAATTAATTTCTCACTTTTATTCTGACTGCAGCATCACTTAGGTGTGGATTTTGAAGGTTAGACAAAGAGATAACATCTCATTTTGTCAGACACATTTTATAGGTCTTCTTGATTAGTAACAATTTCTATGGAAAGGGCTTAGAGATTAATACATAGTGAGTTGGCTAGGTATGCACAGTTAATGCACTTGGTTACTAACTGAAAGGTTGGAGATTCAAGTCTACCTAGATGTGCCTCAGAAGAAGGGATTAGTGATCTACCTCCAAAAAATCAGATACTTAAAACTCTATGGAGATAGTTCTGTGCTGACTCTCAAGGAGTCACAATGAGTTGGAGTCAACTTGATAGCAACTGGTAACCTAGAGGGAGCTCTGATAGTGCAGTGGTTAAGGCATTTGGCTGCTAACCAAAAGGTCCCTATGAATTGAAGCTGATTAGATAGCACCTGGGAGCTCTGATGGCATAGTACCTAAGGCATTTGACTGCTAACCAGAAGGCTGACAGTTCAAACCCACCAGCCACTCCTCAGAAGGAAGATTGGTCAATCTACTTGTGTGGAGATACCACCTTGGAAACCCAAGGAGGGATCGCTATAAGTCGAATTGACTCAATGACAGTGATTTTTTTTTTTTTTGGTTTAGATAGCACCTGGTAGCACAGTGCCTAAGACAACTGACTGCTATCCAGAAGGTTGGTGGTTCAAACCCACAAGCCACTCTGCAGAAGAGAGACTGGGCAATCTACTTCTGTAAAGATTTACTACCTCTGAAACCCAATGGGGGTTACTGTGAGTCAGAATGGACTCAACGGCAGTGGGTTTGGTTTTTCGTTTATATAGCACCTAACAGATATATGTTGGCACCAAAAATGAGTGTTCTCAACTAATTGATGAAATTTCAGAGCTGAGGCAATGATCTCCCCATAGCTTTTGTGACAGGAGAAGGAAGAAAGGGGAATGCATTTTTCAAGTCTATGATGACAACCCAGCTTTACTTCTCAATTTATTCATTTATGTACTGGGAGATATAATTTTAATCTTCCTCCTGAGAAGTGCTGTGAAGGATAGTGAGTTATTTTATTGGAAGCATCCTGTTTCTCCTCAGTAGCTGTATGTATTGCTTGGGGGAGTTTTCAGTGTATGTCCTCTGCCCATGTTTCCTTTGAGAGATAAGGTTTTTCTTCCTGATATATTTAGGGTCTTTATATAGTAAGGCATATCTTTGCCATATTTGTTGCAAATGTTTTTTTACTTACTTCCTATACATTTAAATTTTAATTTTTTTTTCTCATCTTTTTTTCCCTTACTACTTGTGTCTTTTCACATTCTGCATTAAATTCTACTTTTAAATGCTTCTTTAAAAAATTTTTTAACCTTTAAATGTAATCCCAAATGGATTACATTTTTAGTGTGTATGAGAAGTAAAGTGTTATTTTTTTTGTTCACAAGTTATAGAACAATTGTTCCAATACCGTATATTAAATAATATTTCCATTTTCCACAGGTTTACGATTCTATTTTTATCATAAACTAAATTCTCATATTTACCAGGGCCTTTTTCTGGGTTACCTGTGCTGAATCACTGATCTGGGACTCACTGGATGGCATAAACAATTAAGTGCTTGGCTGCTAACCAAGAGGTTGGTGGTTCAAGTCCACCTAGAGGAGCATTGGAAGAATGACCTGGCAATCTGCTTCTGAAAAATTAGCTGTTGTGAACCCTATGGATTACAGTTCTCTTCTGACACATATGAGGTTGCTTTGAGTTGGAATTGACTCAATGGCAACAGTTTGTTATGTTTTTCAATCCCTGATCTATTGATTCCTATGCTCCTCCTTAGAAGGGAGTGCAGTTAGAGTTCGGTACTGGGAGTGGCCATGTATTTAGCCTTATAGAGTAGAAGAAGCCAAACCATTTGACCTCTTTTCCTTTTTCTCTTTCTTCTTAAATATTTGGTCTTTTTATTTTTCATGTTTATTGTCTGAAAAGCAAATGGCTGCTTCTTATAAGAAATTTACTTTCCTTAGAATCAGCTGCTATTTATTTCATTATTTTTATTATGTAGTATTATTATACTAAGCTGATGATTGGTAGGCCAGCATAGGCCTTCTAAGAACAGTTCTCATTCTTTCTTCTGCCAGACATTCGCTGGTTTGGTGGTGTGCCTATTATTTCCTTGGGCCTAAAGACAGAGAAGCAACCAGTATATGTAAGTACCCTTGGTGAAGGGGCTTGGAGAGGGGCTGCAGCTGCATTCATATTCAGGTGATCACCTTTCTGGTTTCATCCCAATCCAGTAACTCCATCATTTTTTTCTTTGCCAATTTGCTTTAACTTGGTGCCTCTCAGTTTAACTTAAGAGATACATATATATCTTCTCTGTGTCTTCATTTGATTATTTAAGAGAAAATTGAACCATTAATGTGCCAGCCACTGTAGATGTCATTTGGGATATAGATATTAACTAGACAGATACATGATGATATCCCCAAGTTGATCTCAGTCAGAGGCAGGAAAGTAAAGCAATTATCAGACAGTAGGATGAGTGTTAAGATAGTGAATTTTATGTAATCACATCAGAGGGACACCTAATCCAGACTTAGGGATGAGGAAGGCCTCCTAGAATATGTTACAGCTAAATGAGACTTGAAAGATGACTAACAGTCAGACGAAGGGAGTTGGGGAAGAATAGGCCATGCATTGGGAATAGGATGTCCAGGGGCTCAACGGTGCCAGACAAGATTGAGTTGTGTATTAGGTTGACCAGAGTTTCTCAGCAGTGGCACTACTGAAAATTTGGGCCAGGAAATTTGTTGTGGAGTATTAGCAATTCCATGTGGTTCCACCTAATAATTTTAGTAACAATATTGGGAGGAGTGGTAAGAGATTGTAGAGTTGGTGGGCAGGGATGAATCAGAAAGGCCTTGGCAAAACTGGAGATCCTGGGTAGAATGGGAGGAAAAATGTAGAACAAAATTCAGAAACACAGTAATGACCAGAATTACTGGTCAAATGGAGTCTGGTGGGACCCCCAAGACTATGGCCCTAGGATGATACTCTTTGGGCCTGGGATAGGATTGGCTCTCAGCCCTGTTAGCAGTAAAAAGACTTACATGCAGAACATCCAACCCAGGGGGATACACCCACCTACTCTACAGATCCACCCCTTGGAGCAGTCATCCATGGGGCACCAGAGGGGCAGCATTCACATGGAGGGAAAGCTGGACAGACAGGAATGCATAGTTAAGAAGGATACAGAGAGAGGAGGGGGGTCACAGGAAAGAGGGGAGGAGAGTGGGTTAGGGTTGGGGGTGGAAATCGGGGTGTGAGATCAAATGTATACGAACTATTGAATGTAAAACAAATTCTGCTCTGTAATTTGTACCCAAAGCACAATTAAAAAAAAAAAAAAAAAAAAAAGGCCTTGGCAGCTATCTGAAGATAAATACTTTCTGACTAGACGAAATATTTAAGGCCTTCAAATGTGGAGGTTATTTGAGCTCTTGAGATGACAGGTTCTTTAAGAAGCTTTCTTAAAATAGTAAATGCCATTATTTGAATTTACCTTTTTCTTTTTTGTGGTCAATGTGTCTTGCTTCCCTCCCTCTTACTATCCATCCCTCCCCCAGCCCCTTGTTCTTTTCCTTTCTTCATTTCTTTCTTTCACCAATGACTTAAACGTGTTATACTTTCTTATAGGTTGTAGATGTATCCAAAGGAATTGTTAATGCAGTTAAGGATCCAGATGCCAGTGGGAAAACCTTTGCCTTCACCGGGTAGGTGCCTACAGTTTGACTTTAAAATTGTACTACCTATTACAGTGAAAGAATCCTAATGGTTGATAATAACAATAATTTCTAAACAAGTTACTGACAGATTTATTTGTTAGATTTTGCAATGTCTTTCTTCTACTGTGTTTATTCCAGAAACCTTTCTCCCCTAGATCTGAGGCCAGTGTGTCTTGAAGAGCTATTCCGAGGCCACCAGGATCAGAATCCTCTGAATGCTTATGTTAAAATTGAGAGAAAGTTTGAGAGTCCGCTTTAACAAATGATTGTTTTAGTCACCAAAGTCTAAGAACCACTGGGCTAGACTGTTACATGTACTTAGTCCAGTGATTTTCCAAGGGTGATTTTATCCTACTCTAATTATGTTTTTTATTACATCTGAGGGTATTGCTATAATTTCTAAAATCCGAAACAATACATTTTTAGGAGTGAGATTGGTTGCAAAATTAAATTAATTCAGATAAGGTATTGCAGTACACCAAAAGGTTGGAAATGACTGGTTTAGTGTATAGTATACCTGCAGTGTAGTAAATTACTTTGTGTGGCTTTTCTACCCATAAGTCTTTGTAAACTCCAAGGTGAGATTTTCTATGAGCAAGTGCAGAGCTCCTGATTGCTGAAGGTGTCCACCTGGAATATTTCTGTTGGGAGAGGCACAAAACAATGTTCTGGGAGGTGCCCACTCTCTCTCAGGTGCTTAGAGTTCTGATGCTATAATTGGCTAGTTTGACCACCCTGTGGGCTCTAAAGGAGACCTCCTGGAGGCAGAACTCTCTCTGACTGCTGGTTGAAGAAGATGTGCTGCTGAAAGAGACACAGGCTCCTGAGACACGCATTGCTGGCAAAGAGACGCAAGAGACAAGCATTGCTGAGTGAGACACCGAGGGACCAGCACTGCTGGGAAAGAGACTGTGAGAGACTCTTGGCTGAGGGACGGTGGGCTGGGAGAGAGACTGAGCATTCTTCCTGAACTTGAGTTGTAGCCTGGTGCTTTCCTAATAAACCCTGTAATCTGTGAGCTGTGTGGCCACTGCAGCAAATTATTGAACCCAGGAGAGAGGTGGTGGTGCTTTGGGAAGAACGGTTGGTGAAAGGGCTGGAGGGAGGCAGCATGTCTGGCCTTGCAGTAATAGGCCTTGGGTTACTGCTGGTAATCCTGTCTTCCTCTCGTGGGATTAGAGGAGGTCAGAACATGTGGCCTCCTTGCCGTTTTTGCAATACCAGTGCTGCAAAGATGTCACTTTGAAGTAATGATGTCATTTTGAAGTCTAAGGTGCACCTAACCCAAGCCATGGTGTTTTCAGTCGCCTCATGTGTGTGTGAAAGCTGGACGATGAATAAGGAAGACTGAAGAAGAGTTGATGCCTCTGAATTGCGGTGTTGGTGAAGAATACTGAAAGTACCATGGACTGCCAGAACAAACAAATCTGTCCTGGAAGAAGAACAGCTGGAATGCTCCTTAGAAGTGAAAATGGCCAGAAAGTGGTCTCACCTCCTTTGGTCATGTAGTCAGAAAGGATCAGTTCCTGGAGAAGGATATCATGCTTAATAAAGTAGAAGGTCAGCAAAAAAGGAAAAGACCCTGAAGGAGATGAATTGACACAGTAACTACAATGATGGGCTCAGGCACAGCAAGGATTGTGAGGATGGCACAGGACCGGGCAGTGGTTACTTTTGTCGTGCATAGGATCACTGTGAGTTGGAGCTGACTGGACAGCACCTAACAACAACATACTAGTGCTATAGAGGACTGATCATTTGTTATATACTGTCTTTGTTGAAATTTGCTCACAGAGAATCTAGGGCACAGTTAAGTTTTGTGACAAATCTGAAATTGGTAAATCATGTCACAACTATGTATAGAACCTTTTTTGTTGAATAACTGAAAGTCAAAAACTATAACACAGTCTGCCAAATTGAGAGGCAGCAAATTCACCTAGTAATTGATCTAGAAGCTTGTTACTCTTTGAAACAAACTAATGATACCTGATGTCCTATGAATGGTGAGGATCTGATTCAAAAATTAAGTGGTAGCCTAATTCCTAAAAAAATTTGCTTCCAGAGAAAATGACACTTTTCTCTGTAAGCCAGGAGGCAGTATATAAGTATACCAGTATACATATACGTGTAATACGTATTCAGGTAGTATATAGTAATATTCTCTGGAAGCAAATATTTTTAGGAAGTAGAAGGTTGGGCAATCCTACTTCCGTAGTGATAACTGCCTAGGAAACCCAAGGAGGGGTAGCTATGAGTCGGGGCCGACTCGACGGCACATAACAACAGCAACAACAACAATAGTCACAGAATTAAGAATCATTGAATTATATTACACTGTTATTTAGTAAATTTTTTTTCAGTGCAAAAAACTACTGTTTTTCCAGTCAACTAGCTGATGGACAATGTATGTCTCTCTTTGAGTTCCCATTTCAGTATATTAGCTTGCCGTCAATTATATATTCTGGGAAAACTAGTCATAAATATGTTCATTACAATGATCTATAAAACACTGGATTCAAAAAATATCGGGCTCTAGTTAAAGAGTTAGATCAAGATTCCAAGGAATAGATGAGTCAAAATGGCCTTTTGAACTTGACTTACTTACTACTCAGTGGAAATGACTTTAGGGTAAGTTGGCCATTTTCTTCTTTATCTTTACCTAGCCACTCTGGTCTCTGCCAGGCTCCAGGATGTCTTGGTTGTTTGGCACAGTGATGGGAGAAGTGGGACTGGAGATGGTGGTATAGGCATTTTTCCTTGTGGAATTTTAAATATGCCTGTTCTTCCCTTTTTTTGTCTCTTTAGCTTAGGGAAAAGCTTTTCATATTTCTCTGATACTTTGAGGCTACAGCAGAGACAGAAGATCTTAATTTTGCTCCTAGGTTTTTTGTAGTTATTAGTTATATCATGTTGGTTCCTTCTGTCTGTCATTCATTCATTAAATATTTGTTGACATACAAAATGCTATTAGAACAAATAAATAAGTTCAGTAAGGTCACAGGATACAAGATCAATATATAAAAATCAATTTCTATATGCTAGCAAAGAACAATGTGAAAAGGAAATTAAGAAAGAAATGTTATTCATGTTAGTTCTCAAAAAAGAATAAAATACTTAGGAATAAATTTAACTAAAGTAGTACAAAGCTTATACACTGAAAATTACATGGTATTGCTGAGGGAAATTAAAGAAGACCTAAGTACATGTTCATGTATTGGAAGAGTCCATACTGTTAAAGAGATCAGTTCTCCCCAAATTGATCTATAGGTTCAATACAATTTTATTTTATTTCCAGTAGCCTTTTTTGTATAAATTGACAAATTAATTATATATTCATATGGCACTGCTTTGCAGACAGACTAGCCAACATTATTTTGAAAAAGAATAAGGAAGTTGGAGAACTTAAGTTTCCTGGTTTCAAAACTTATTCTAAAGTACATTTATTAAGCAAGTGTGGTACTGGCATCAGAGACATATAGATCAGTTAAACAAAATTTAGAGTCCAGGCATAAATCCTTATCTTTATGGTCAGTTGACTTTGGACAGTTCAGTAGGGAAAGAATAGTCTTTTCAACAAATGGTGCTCAGATATCTACTTGCAAAAAGATGAACTTAGATACCACACAACATATATAAAAATTAACTCAAAATATAGCAGAGGTCTTAATGTAAAACCTAAAATTATAAAACTTTTAGAAGGAAGCTATGAGAAAATCTAGACCTTGGGTTCTAATCAAATAAAACCAAACTCACTGCCGTCGAGTCAGATCTGACTCATAGCGACCCCTCCTTAGGTTTCTGAGGCAGTATCACTACAGAAGTAGATTGCCCCATCTTCCTTCCGAGGAATGGCTGGTGGGCTTGAACCACCAGCCTTCTGGTTAGCAGTCAAATGCCTTAGGCACTACACTACCAGAGCTCTTAGACCTTGGGTTAGGAAAAAAAAAAATTCAGCTACAACATCAAAAGTACAATCCATAAAAGAAAAATTGTTTAAAATTTTGACTTATTTAAAATTTAAAAAGTTTGTGATTAAAAACACACTATCAAGAAAGTAAAAAGGTGACCCAGAGAATGGGAGAGAATATGTGCACATATCTGATAGAGGCTTGTATCCAGAATATATAAAAAAATTCTTAAAACTCAATAATAAGAAAACAAAACAACCCAGTTAAAAAAGGGGCAAAAGATTTGAATAGACATTTTACCAGAAACAATATAGTAGTGGCCAGAAAGCACATGGAGCCCTTGGTAGGTGGGAACTACTGATGTGCTCAGCTGTTAACTGAGAAGAAAGGCCTGGCAGTGTACTTAGGAAAAGTCTGTCTTGATCTCTGTGGTACTGGTGAGTAGGAGGTGACTCCAGGGCAGCTGGGAGAAAACACAAAAATGCTCAGCACCCTTTGTTATTAGGGAAATGCAAATCAAAATCACAGTGAGATGCCTCTTCCCAGGTAGACAGTAATAAGTTGGGAAGAATGTGGAGATACAGCAAGCTCCTACATTGCTGTTGGGAATGTAAAGTGGTTGTAAACAAATAGTTTTGCATTTTCTTAAAATGTTAAATAAATTTACCACAAAACCAAAAAGCAAACCCCTTGCTGTCAAGTCGATTCCAACTTACAGCTACCCTGTAGGATAGATTAGAACTGCCCCATAAGGTTTCCAAGACTGTAACCTTTATGGAAATACATTGGTACATCTTTCTTCCACAGAGTGGCTGGTGGGTTTATACTGTGCTGACCTTTTGGTTAGCAGCCAAGTGCTTAACCACTGCACCACCAGGCCTCCTACATTTATTGTACAGCTCAGCAATACCACTCCTAGGGTTTTACCCAAGAAGGTGTTTGTCTTCACAAAGGCTTACACATAACTGTTCATAGCATCATTATCATAATAGCTTCAAATTGGAAACTATCCTAATGCCCGTTACTGATGAATGAATAAATAAATTGTGTTGTACCCACACAGTGGAATATTGTTCAGCAATAAAAGAAATGTAATACTGACACATGTAACAACATGGATGAACCTTAGAAACATGGTAAGTGAAAGAACTCGAACACAAAAGACCACATATTGTATGACTGCATTTATATGAGAATCTATAAAAGGTAAATCTATGGAGACAGAAAATAGATTTGTGGTTGCCTAAGACTGAGGCTAGGAACAAGGATTAATTGTAAATGGGCATGAGGGATCTTATTGGGGTGGTGAAAAATATTCTCAAGCTGGATTATGGTGATGATTTTACAACTCAGTAAGTTAACTAAACATCATTGAATTGTATGCTTAAAATAAATGAATTTCATAGTGTGTATATTATACCACAAGAGTGAAAAGGATGGACAAGGTTTCTGCCTTTATGGGGCTTATAGAGTAGTGGTAAAACTCACAAGTAACAATCAAGCAAAATACTATAAAATAAATTAAGAAAAGGGTATATACCCTAGAGAAATGAGAGCCCTGACAAGAACAGATATATGCACGCCGATGTTCATCGCAGCACTATTTACAATAGCCAAAACATGGAAACAACCTAGATGTCCATCAACTGAGGAA